CAGTATTGGAAGAACTTTTTTTAATGTCGTTCACACAACATGTAATCATATATTATACAATTTGTACATACCATAATTTTCCTGAGCAAAGTAACAGTGAAAAATGAACATTTGCAATAATTTTAAAAACGTTTGGAAATAAATAACAAATGAAATCAGAATATATTCTTTATTAGATATACTAACATTAATCAAATATTTAACATGATCTCGGGGGTTTCACTATTGAATTTACAACGAAGCCTTTTTAGGTTTTATATAATTATGCTTTCAAAAATCTTCCAAATTACCAATAATGTGCCATTTCATTGTGTTGGTCTTATTGTTCATATATACTTTACAGCTTCAAAATTTACACCAAAACACGACTCCAGAAGCTATTTAATATAAACATGCATCATTCGTATTTAAATCAAATATTGTACTTTAATAAGTTGGTTAATATTTTGTAAAGTCATATGAAAGATAACTGTTGGGATGATGTGTTTGACTATTGGGAAAATGGTAAATTGTGTTGTCGTGCACAGTCATATTAATTTTACATTTATTTCGTTATCAACAAACAACAGGTTTGATTTTTTTCCTTAGTTTCATATAATTTGACATTAAAAAATTGTCACATGTACTAATATCGGTATATATAACTTTTAATTGTTATTGAACGTCGAAGATACCATTCCATGTTGAACATCAAATGACGTCGTAGAAACAGAAGTAAGTAATTATAAAGCTAAAAGTACTGCTAACATATGGAGAAATACATTTCATACAAATTAAATAATATATCATGCAATGTTAAATCAACCCGATGGTACCCTGGCTAATAAATTTGATAAAATACACGAAATTCAATTAGCACGAAAATTTGATTATATTCTGTCAACACTTAATTCTCATCAGTGTAATGAAGATTCAACAGGCATCGATTCTAGTGAATAAGTCATTAGAAATGAATTTCAAAGAAAAGAAACAAAATGAGAAATAACAAAAACCAATTCAAACGTCTTTAAGCTTGGGGTTATCTAAACATTTTGTCTCCGGTTAATATGAAAAAGTTTATTTGAGAAACTTCAGTTCATACATTTGCCGGGGGAGGGGGTTATAGAAGCAACATGCATCCGCAATCTTTTAGAAACAAGGTTGATTTGCAGTGAGTTTTACTGAGTCTTGGGTACTTATGCGTATCACTATTTTATTTTTATCCAAACAATATTTCCAGGACTACAATATCGACAAGGCCATATTAACATAAACAAAGAAACAACGGGAGACTAAACTCACAAATTTCTGGTATTCTGTATGCATGTTTAAATTTTACATTCGGTATAACAATACCTTAAACAGCAAATAAAGATACTGTTTTCAGAAAATACTGTTATTCATATTGCATTGCTCTCAATGATTGTAAAATCCTTTAGCGTATTCAATTTTATTCCAATATTTTTGGCCATGGCGTTGTCAGTTTGTTTTCGATCTATGAGTTTGATTGTCCCTCTGGAATCTTTCGTCGCTCTTTTACAGTTATGAATTATTGTTAATTGGCTAATATGAAGACGATCAAACCACTTCCGATATTTATACAAATACCTTCAGATATTTGGACGACAAATTCTCAAAATCTCGGTAAATACTTCTGATTCTTTAAAATATACAAATGATGTATTTACCCCAACTTGCCTTGTCAAAAGTGATTCTATTCTTTTTCCATGTATCATGAATTTTCTTGCTGGTCTTCATAATAAGCTTAGACGCTATTTCGTTGACTTTTGTTTTCTCTCTTCGATGGGGATGTTACGCCGGTGACTTCTTTTAAAGTATACATTTCACAGATATTCTCCATATAATATGCGCATGGCTGCAGTGAAGTGTCCGATTTCGATTTACTATTTTCATCAATAAAAAACATTTACAGCATACTTTAGATGTAACCAATTGGTCAAAACGTTTACTGAATTTTATTTTATATATCACAAGGAATGTTTTGTGGAAATTTGATTCAATCTGCCAGAATTTCATAATAAAACAAGTATTTCACGCCCAGCTTCATAATAGTAAAGGTTTAAGAATTATCATTAAAACCTTTCGTATTGGCATAACCGACTAATTAATAAAAGATTAAATTGATGTTATTTTTGATTATTTTTGGTATTCGAGTCTTTATTGTCATGATATCAATTTGATAGAATTGATAATTTTGTGTTGTGTTTATAATCAACTTTCCCTTATTTTCCCACTGATTGAGATTCAAAGGGTTGCGATGTCAAAAATAATTAACTCCGTGGAAAGTGAATGTGCCTGTCGCAAGCAAGGAGTCCGTCATAGTTTTACCTTGGTAATGCATAAATGTTCTGTTCATTTAGGGAATGAAGTGTTAATTGCAAAATTGTTTTAGTCAGTTTTAAATTAAAACTTTTCTAAACTCGGGTGATTCAGAGCTTGGTTTTTTGTACAAAAATTTCCTTATTTGAAAAAAAACCCGTATATTGATCTTGTCAATGTAGTAAGTTCAAATCGAAGAATATACTATCGACTTCGTCATTTAAATGGACTTCCGGTAGACTACTGTTGTTTTAAGTCAGCTTAAATATACATGTGAGTTACGGTAATCGCTGCCAATTATACACTGTTATACCCTTCTTTCCTCTGTACTTAGTATTAAAGAAGAGTTATCGCTCAAATTCAACAAGATTAAAACACAAATTTTTCTTCTGCTACTACCAGAGAAAAACTGAGGAAATCGCATGATCTCCAAAAGAAACAAGAAAGAATATTTCAAAATGGTAGGAATATGTCGAGATGCAATCAACAGCAGCTGTACGAACTCAGGCACAATTATTAATATCATAATAGGAGGTAAAAAAAAACCAGAACATTTACCAATTAAACGACGTATTTGTGTGTAGCAAGATCTACGACCACAAAAACATGTCACTCATGAGTTGAGAAACATACACAGCAACGAAAAAATTCGTGTAGTTGATAGTAAAATGAGTATAGTTTTGATTGCAGCCTTTCCGCCGTATAACCCTGATAAAGGAGTTTTATGCATACTCCTTGTACATAATGAACTCCATGTAAACTCTTGGAACGTATGATTTCAGATGTGTAAAAGCCATACAATGGGACAGGGCGTATGCCATAATTGAGAAATAGGAAGTTGGAAAATAAAAAAGATGTCACGTCTCTCATAGATACTAGTTTGACGTCGTCCATCAATGTCAAGAAAAAGATCAGAATTTTCCTTTCCGTAGCAGCTTGAACAATTCAAAAATGAAGAGATGTGGTATGATTGCCAATGAGACATCTATCCACCAAAGTTCCAATGAGTGGATGTACGCAATTATAGGCATTCGTACTGCCTTCAATACTGAGAAAATCAGTACCGTCTAGTCGGCTAAAAAAGATCCCGACATGCAATTTGTGAAACAATTCAATTCAGGAAACTAACGGCCTAATTTATTACAAAACAATTTACCAAAAATAAAAATTGACAGACATGAACCAATGTCAAGCACTGAACTACAGGCTCCTGACTTGGTACAGGCATATACAGGATGTGGCGGGGTTAAGTATGGTTTGAACGCTCACCCTTCCCCCTAGCCTGGGACAGTGGTGTTACAGTATAACATAAAAACAAACGGTAAAAACCAGTTGCAATGGGCTTTTTTAAAGAGTTACTTCACTAGGAAATATTTGAACATCACACTTGAAAATGTGGGTTGGTAAGAATTGTTTTTCGTTTATTACTGTAGTTGAAATCAGGTTGTTGAATTCTCTCTTATCTTTATAGTCATCAGGATGTTTTATAGCTTACTATACAGTGTGTGTTTTTGCTCATTGAAGAAGGTCGTATGTTTACCTGTAATTGTTCACATTTTTGTCATTTGATGTTCATTGGTTATCATAACACCTCTCCTTGTGTTTTAAATAGAGTAACAGAACAGTATTAATATATCTTGACACGATTTTGTCTTTGGGCAATTTATGTGGATGAACTCTGCTTCATGTATATGCGTCAAAAACTCCGCCAGTACAGATGCACAATTAGTAATCATCAGAAAACTAACGTTTTGTTGAAATATATAAATATAACAAACTCAACAAAAATGTCGTCGATTATCAAAGTCCAGCATTTTTGAAAATATCGTTTTAAATGTTTTCGATGTTTAAATCATTGTGGTTCATCACACAATAAGTTGTTTGTGATCTAAAACAAACAAACAAGTGTCTGTGTTTTCTTTTTTGTTTGCAGGAAGTTTATTATCCGATTGAAGTTTTTAATATTTCATTTAGTTCAGGCCTTTGAGTAATAAGTCTCAAATCTGTTCATTAATTACGGTGCCAATATTACCGGTCATATCATTTAATCATAGCACATGTTCAAGTAATGACCGATAGCTAGTAAAGGAGATATATATATATGCTTGATTTGGAAAACCTCCTCTGATGATATTCGATAACGTGATTGTGAAAGTAATGTTCAAAATTCTAAATTCAGATTATCTGTGAAATGTTCCCATGGTTGTTTTATTTTTACCTTGATTTGTATCATCTAAATATTTTATGAGATTTTAATATCGATAAACTACTGTTGCCTCTAATTTTTATGTATACAACATAGGCATATTATTACATATAACAGAAAGTACCGTGTTCAACAATCCTCTGATGGATTGCTGCTTTATCAATATGCAAATCATTTAATACCCATTGTGTTGTATTAGTGTCGTAGATTGATGTTGTATCATAAATCCATATGGGTTATTTTAGACACCTATCTTATTTTATTTTGTCTTATTTACTAACTATCTCGTAATGATATTGACCTTTGAGTTATCAAATATTGATAGATAAACATTGCATACGTTTGCATAGTTAATATTCTGTATTTGTAAATACGATTAAATTAATGATGGTGTGATAAGTATCTAGAGGAAAAAGAAGAAAAACAATTCAAAAGGAGATGCAAAAGATACCAGAGGGACATTCAAAATCATAAGTCAATTAAAATGATTTATTGTAATCATCAATATATACATATGAGTACAACACATATGTTTTTATTGATCATCTTGGCACATAATGCGGTTATTGTGAATGGTCTTCTAACAGATACCATCTTTTGGAAGACAATGTTATATCACACGTTTCAATTATGTTGTTGAACCATAAATTCCTGATCCTACAATGTAAAATCCCAATTATGATAAATGTTTGAATACGTTAATATTTCTGTTAATGATTTAATGAAATAATGACAAACATTTCAAATGACAACATATTGCTAAGTTTTTAAAGTATTCTGCATTCAAAGAAAACGACTTTAAATATGGTTTTACAACAACAAATGAATACCCGCTATGTAAAAGTCCTATGTTTGGATGCATGTTATCACTCAGTTTATAAAATGATGATTAATGCACATATTTAAATTTTTGTAGATTTTACATAGCCTCTTACAAGACATCTTTAAAAGCGTTTTGTTTGTTTTGTAATTTGGCACATGCAGTTTTGAATACATCAATTAGATAAAATTGTTTATAGCATATACAATGTCATTGTATTTAGAGAAATAAAATGAAAACACACTTCTTCAAATACTTTTTATCTCTAGCATTTAAATATCCATACACCATTGTTATAATTGAAATATTTTAACAAGATGATTAAAAGCTCCTTTTTAATAATTCCTTGTATTGTTGTTGCATGTCTGTGTGTCATTGTTAATATACCTACTTTCAGGTTTTATCCTCTTCACAGCACCGTTTTGAAGTGTTGAAACTATGAGATATGAAGAAGTCGATGTATAACGTTCTCTTCATTTTTGAATGGTGTTTCCACCAATTATCACAGTTGCTTTAAGTATTGCATATATAACATAATATCGACACCATAAAAATATCTTTGTATACCGTTTTACATTAATTAGCTATTTACATATGCAGATATTTATGTCTGTAGTCAAACAATTTAGGTTAGTGTTCCTCCTTGAACTTACTATTCACTGAAAAAAGAAAAAAATATAATATATTGTATATCCTTTATCTTACACAATTGAAATAAAATGTAATGGTGAATCTGAAGTCATACCATTGAAAGTTTTGGGACCACATCATGATCGGAATATCTGTGTCATATATGACCAGAGATATGTTGATTTGGCTATTACTTTGATTTCTATTTTGTTTATATCGCTCCTAAAGTATGCAGACAAATATACATCATTTTGTTTTACATGTTTTGGGTTTGGACGATCCTGATGCAGAAAGGCGTTCGGACGCACCAAATTTAAAAGTGTTATTTTGTAGCTACAACTTACCGCTCTTTCTCGATTGTGACATCACCTATTACGACTTACCACCAAATGTTTGCTTGCTTTGGTGCCATGTGGGCACATATGTTCACCCCTTGGATGTTGATCATCTGATTTTCGGTCTGCAAATAGCAATGGTATTATCTGATTTTCGTCGCCTTATGGTTTTCGGTTGGCCTTTGGTTTATTATCCTTTGCAAGTTAGACATGTTAGGTAATTTAAGACAGCAAAGTTCAAAGTGAAGTTTCAAATTGCAGCAAAATGACTGTCATATACTTTACTTGACACTGTCATATTTATAAAAAAAATCTATGGGCTATATCAAGATCATACGATATCTTTTAACTAACAAATGTTGATACAACTGAAGAATTGAGCTAATAAACATGCTAGAACCATTTTTGTGAAATGTGATTTTATGCGTTACTTGTTTTAAATTAATTTTGCTTTGGGATTTTATACACCTGTATGCTTCATCATCTGAATGAAAAAATGTATTTACCTTCGTATGACGTCAATTTCATGCTGTAACAATCGTCGACCTGTAATATAGGCTAATCTTTGAAATTCATTTACTTTTCTTTATTTATTTTGTTTTAATCTTCAAACGAAGATATTCGATAAACGTCAATTAAAACGCAACTCAGCAATTTAAATAAGTCAACATATGGTTAATAGAAATGTACAAGATCTTGCCATTCTAAATGTCACAATTATTGACAGAAACTACTATATCCCTATCAAAATCACTAAAGTTGATTTTTTTTGCTGTTTCAAGTATCTGTCATTGTAGGCGCATGATGAAATTGAATGCGTATAACCCATCAAACGCTTATTTAACAATCATTTGGTTGGTACCGCTGCTGTTTACGGACTGTTTACTCTGTTTCCTTTTGATTGTGTTCCATAAGCTGTTCTGCAACTGATAGTTTACAGACAAGTTGAATCATATATATATATTTTAGCGGTTGATTGTTAGAATCCGAAGATAATAATTGCTCTTAAATTGCAACTGCGTCTAGCAAATTAATATCATATGGTTTTTGCTATTATATTTTGGCCTATTTTATTTTAGTGTTCTTGAATATTTTCTGTATATGGTTTGCTCTTGAAGATACCTGATGATAGTAATATCTTTCCATCGCCATATTATAATTTACGTACTTATGGTATATGATTACTATGTTCAAGAGGCGTTTTCAGAGTCTGCATCGTTGTACATTACCATCTTGACCTTGTCACTCAGTTAACAGATTTAAAAATAATTCATTCTTTTACAGTTTTAATCTTTTCCAAGAAATCATAAATGATAGTATATTTTATTTTATAACGAATCTGTAAAGGATGATTACAATCAATGGCATACCTACTTTAGCTTTTGATTTGATGTTGGTTCTAATCAGTCGACCATGACTTGGCATAGTTATTCTAAAATTATTTTCCATTAAGGATTGTCCACTATTATCATGATTAGTAAGAGATCGTAACGATTCTAGCTGAAAAATAAGAAAATATAAATGAATATCACCCAGAGACGGATATCAATTGTAATGAGAAAATTAACAGAAAGTGTCTGACTATACTATATCTACTAATAACTGTCAGCGGCTAAGAATTCTTTCAAGTATTAACTTCAAAGTTAGATTTCAATCATGCAATAGTTTACCTTCGAGAATATCCCATTGATTTACACCAGACTTGTAGATTTCATTTTTATATCGTAATGAAAATTTCTGTAAATGTATTTTTAATTACAACCCTTTGTATTGTTCAACCTACAAAACAACTGCATGATTGAAATTCGCCAACTTCATACCAAATCCGCACGCCTATTTCAAGCTTCATTTTCCCATAAGACCAAGACGTTCTTACACTTTCGCAGGTTGATTACGATTGGATTTTCCTGAAATATATTCGCTATCAGGTGTGCCGTTCAAAGTTCAAAGTATCTGTGATGGGTTTTGTAATAATATAAGTCAAGTAAGAAAAATGTGCTGTAAAAGAAACACATTGCACATGACTTTTTGCAAATGGTCATTATTAATAATATGATATGATATGACTAACTTTAAGAATCTATGCTTGGGGGTAAATGAAATAGTATTTTGAATGATTTTAACTATTTACAATAATAACTGAACAGAAATAGACCCCGTTTATGATTTTTCATTTCAGCACTGAATTGCTTACTGTTGTCCTGATAATTATACATGTGAAGAAACATCCATGAAACAGAGGAAGGAACATAAAAAAAGGTTTTGGAAGACCAAAATAAATGATAAGTTAAAAAGCACAGAACATTCCACAAAATTGCCCATATGGTTCAATGCACGTGGGTAACAAATACAAGGATTTAACATTCTAATGAACAGAAAATGAAAATTTTAATGAGATGTTATGTAAACAACAGAGTTATGGAACAGGGCTGATGTACACTGGAAAAAAAAACTCATTCACATAACAGTACTAAACAATATCTAATAACCATTATTTAATCCCTTTTTTCTTCTTTTCGTTATAACACGTTTTACATGTGTCCACAGGTTTATAGATTACCAGACAACCGAACCCCAGAAACACGTATTGTGTATATTGTAAAATACGTACGCATAAAAATCTCCAGTTAAGGATAACTTACTTGATTATAAGATACATGTATTGGTTTATTTAATATAACCCAGGTTACTGTCTCCATACAGCCGGGTCTGGTTAGTGACCCTTCATAAGTTACAAATGACGGAGTTACAGGAAGGAATTCCTTTGGAAAGAAATTTAAAACGGGCGTTGTCATTCCTGAAATATAAAATAGAAAAATAGTCTATGGTAGATTATATCAAGCATCAATCAAATAATTGCCATTCTGATATGATGTATTAGATATTCTCTTATAGTTGTGGCCTGTTATATATTTCTTGCGAAAATGATATTTTTCGTATCACGCTGCACGGAGTGTGATACGAAAAAGTAATACGAACACTGCGTTAATTTGATTGGCTTAACCACTATAATGAGACGATATTACGACATTTCCATTTGGCTATTCGTTTGGTCATTGAAGACTTTCAAATGTCGAGACGATGTACATTTTGTCCATGACGATGTGATGTATAAACATATAGATACTGTCTTATTAAAATTTTCAGTTATAAAAATTGGAAATTATCTCTTATCATAGCTCTGATTAGATGTCCGGGATTGCCTTTACTTTTGATCATTTTAATTATCTTTGAAATATTTGTATTAAGTTTTGGATTTCGAAAAAAAAAGTTTGGCCTTGAACATCAATGAAGAGACATACATTTTTTAAATGCACTTCAAGTGCAGTGAAATTGATGCCATTTATTACATTTAGACAAACGTATAATGTGAATAAAGTGAATCTTGACGTAGTGTATATAAATGAAAAATTAATTACAATCAGAATGTGTTACTGACATTATATTACTATCGAAAAGAAGATATCTACTAGATGGATATATCTCCCCGGAAAGTCTTTCAAGGGTACCATTATATCGTATATTTGATCGCAAACAAAAAATAAAGTGAACTTATATGATTACAAATATGAATAAAAAGATATCTGGAAAATACTTCAATAGAATACCGGTCGCTACTTAACAGTTTACACACACACATGGAAACAACTTCCAATTAAAAAACATAAGACAAAAAAAAAAAAAGGTTTACCGGTTTGCATACTGTTTCGATGATACATGTCTATAGACAATCTCTTTACCATGTGTTAGGCTAAAATATGTAATTAGTTCTTTGAGTAAGATTAGTGATAGTGACTATAATTAATATTTTAGTGTTCAAATTAAAAAACATATTAGAAAAATGCAGCAGTAGAATTACCTTTTAATCGAACTTTCATTGCAGCTTGTATTAAAATATCTAAATAATCGTTATCATGATCTGTGACCTGTAAACATATGAATCAGTCAGATGAATCGGCAATGTACGTAAATATAATAAAACTAATAATTAAATAAATTAGTTGAAGATGTCAATTAATTCTGATTTCTAGTCTGACTTGATAAGGCGCTCGTGTAAAGTGTTTTCATTTAGATATATGAGTTAATCAAAATTTTAACCAAATGAGTCAATTCATTCTATAAACTTTCTAAATTATAGCATCCCTTTACACTATGTAAATATCTTGAAAGATATTGGCTAAGTGTTAAACCTCTATCCTATGTGGGAATGCTCCGATATGCAATCAGAACAGAACAGAACATGTACGTTCTCAAGGTTGAAAGCCAGATATTAACGAAACCTTTTTTTTCTTAATTTGAATTAAGATTCATCCGAATTCCATCACAGTCGAACGTATTTCGATTAAAGGTGTGAACTGGTACAAGGTAACCGTTGGTAGGACACATTGTATTGCACATGTAATGCCCTCGGAATGCTTGGCTTTTACTATGGTGTTATGATTTTTATTTCTTTATGATAGCGCACTTGTTTTGACTATATGAATTATTTTTTGTATGTATTATTATATCTAATATTATACACATATCCGAAATAAAAAATATGCATATCAAACATATAATGAATTATATGAATACCTGCGCTAATATTGATACTGCTGCTATACCATGAGGAGCACTTAATGCTTGAGAAATGTTTTTATTAATCTCGCCATTATATCCATAAAGCTGTATCTGTAATTAAGGTGGTGTACAGATATTAACAAGACTACATAATAAAATAAATAATTTATATAAAAACAAATCATTTCAATGATTTAAATGTAAAAAATGTAAAAAAGTAAATAAAAAAAAATGTGCCTTGTTAATCGATCTTTTTTCAACGTTGACATTATTCTGTTGAAAAGTTTGCAAGACTGTAAATGGTTAATTTCGCCGTTACAAAGTCTGACTACTTATATCGAATGCATGATATCTTCGGAAGATAAATATTCCTTAGCGAACACGTTCATATCGCAAGTTGTTTGATTTTACAATCTATCATAAGTATATTTTGTGTAAACTTGTTGCATACATTGATGTTATTTATCTACGATATGCAAGAATAAAAATCGTGTCGATAGTGCTGCGTCCAGAGTCGAGTTTGAGAATGAATTAAATGGATTCTACAGGCGATATTCTTTAAAAGTAAGTTTAAACCAGTGCATTTAAATGGTCTTGAAATTGACTGACTAGTCGACTGTTGTTTGCATAACGTCCAATACATATATATCATGCATATTTAGGACAGTAACAAAGTGACAAGGTTGATTCTGCAAAATAGGTCGACCGGGATGATGGCGGGAATAACGACTGCGTCATTGAAGACGAGGGTATGGTGAAAAGGGACATACATTTTGCCTCGCAACAATACACCTACGTCTTTATAGAGACGATAGCGCTCTGTTGGATAGTTGTGTCATTGACAATCAAACCACATCTACTTATCTACATACTGCATAAAGTCATTTCGTTCTATAATATTACAATACAAACCATTTAAATATTTAAATAATAACAAAATGTATGTTTGATTATATGTATCATTCAGGAAACATTAATCAAATCTAATAAAATATTTTGATGAAGTAAGATGAGCTAATAAATCAATAACACATGAATCTATGCATTCACTCATCATATTAAATGGTAGAAGACACCAAGAAACAATGGCAAATTAAGTCAAAATAAAACACATAATAACATGGCCAAAAAGAAAAACCACTCAAAGACAAAGAAGTCCACAAAACAACACAACTACCAATACAACTAAGAACAGAGCAACATGAACCAAATCTTGGGGTGAATTCAGGTACTCCAGAAGAGTTAGCAGTTTGTGGTCGACTAGTAGCACCCGTCATGTTGTTCATGGCAATTATTAAGTTTTTGTCGATAAAAAACAGAAGGGATGGTGACTACGAAAAATGGAAAATATCCGACATCTTCTAGATACAGATATCGCAAACTTTCCTCCAAATCATGGGCGTAAAATTTTCGAAGGGTTGATTTTAAATGAACTATCTGTTTAAATATAAATGTATATTAACGTCAAAAGAATGAATCGTAAGAAGAGTCCTCTATTCAGAAATGTTAACAGGATTGTGTTTAATATTTTCCAGGAAATTCAATTGCAACGACTTATCAAGCTGTTTATTTTCAGTATAAGAAGCAGTCATGCAACCATTTAAACCAAAAGAAAACTAATTGTCTGAAAGTGCTTGATCATTTCTGGACGCACTTCGATGAAAATGTCTTCTCATTGTTGAATTTTCGCGAAGAGAATATCAGAAAAGTAGCTTAAAACGTGAAAAAAACCTTTTCCAAATTTCATGAAGCGTTTTCACAGTTTATGTCATGTTCAGATCATTTTCCTTTGTACTTAATTTCTACATTTATAATAATATTGATACATATATATTCAGAAACGATTAGTATGATTTCCTCCTGAAATGTGGTGTAAATTTATAAAGGAATCATTTACCTGGTATTGAGCTTTCTTAAATACAGTACCTTATATTTCATCAATCATTAGGCAGTATCGATTTCATTTACCTTAAATCTTGGTTAGGTTGCAACGACCTCCCTAATTCGGTTTATTGTGTAATACTTTCGTACATTCTGTCTCCGATGTCTATTAGCTACTCAAGTATGAAGGCGTTTAATTATTTTAATCGCAATAAAAGAATAATTTGTTTTTTACACGACAACTTTACCTATCACAGTGCGTCATAACCCGTTCAAGATAATTAAATTTATACAGAAAAAAAAAAAGTTGTTATAACGTTACTTTTGGTCGATAATTCCAAACTTGTTGTGAAAGAACAAAGGTACGTTTTTGCAGGACGCAATCGTGTCAATTAATTTAATGCGATTCCCTTAGGTTGTTTTGTACGTTCATTTGTCTAAATCGTTTTATGCGATTCTAACATTAGTAAACTACTGTTGCCTAAATGAGGGCTGATAAGATCTTGTATTTACAGGCTTTTCATACTTGTATTATACACATTTATACAATTTTGTAAAACCTTCTCACTGATGAGTCTTATGTGACAGAAACGCGCATATGGCGTACAAATTTATAAGCCTGGTATCTTTAATAAATTTTTTAAGTGGGTTGATGACACTGCTGGTGGATGTTTCGTGCTCGAGGGTATCACCAGCCAAGTAGTCGACATTTTTTTATTGACATCAAATATCACTGATATATTGATTTTTGGTAAATTTACTGATTGTAAATGTTGAATTATTTGAAACATTTAGGTTTTTTCTACAAACAACTCACAAAGAGACAAAAAAACTCACAATACCTATCGAAGTATACAAATGCATTAGCATGTACTGAAACCTAGTTTGAAGCTTTATTCTATCTAATAAGCAACATGTTTTCATAATGTTTTCACAGTCTTGTATATTAATCAGTTCACATCCATCAGGTGTAATGCAAAGATTGCATGACAAGTCCAGGAAATTATGAAATTGTGCAAATCTAAAACATAACCATCGACAGGATGCAATGTTTATCAACTGTTTATGTATTTAATAAAAACAGAATATTACTATAATTTTGTTTACTTACTTCTAACGGAAATTTCTTCCCACCAATACTGTGTTCTGATCCTATGCTGTCATGATCTCCGAAATGAATTTTTATCTCGTACAATGTATATTTATATGATAGAGGTCCACCGGTTATAAAAAATGGTTTTGTATTGGTATTGTTAATTAAAAGAGATAAATCATGTCCATTGTTTTTGAAAAGACCATCAATCTGAAATAAGAAATACTATTGAACGAATAAAAGTAGTAATAGGCTATAATAGACTGTATGAGAATATATTTCATAAAATTGCGTAGGTTTTGAAAATTCAATATTAAAAAGATGAAAAATCGCATATGTATTAATTGTCATTAGTCTGTATTAAAAATATTATAGTGAATACATTATTATTTTAATTAATTTAACACCTTTTGCATGAAATTAATATGAAACTGTTGGAATATAGAAAGTCTTCTCGGGACCACAAAACGATAAGGACAAACTAGCCCCTCATTGTTGCAATTTGAGAGAAAAAAAAACCAAAGAGATCCTTTTAAGTGATCACTGATAGGAGACAGATTATTTTAATGTCAAGGTAATATATACAAATGTTCACATGGACTACTCGAAGATTCAAGAGACGTCGTGTACTGGGAAACTTTAGGATTGTTTAACTTACTTGATATTTACTAATATTGAGATGTTTCATATGTGGATCATGTACTAATATTTTAGGATCAATGTTGATAGGTGATTGATATTTCCCTTTATTACATATACTCCAGTCTGGATTATGAATTCCCCAATATCGTGGACCTGAAACACAAAATTACCCAATAGAAATATGATTTAACATTTTCATTAAGAGCAATATAGAATCAAAAAACTATTACAAATGTAGCGGAAACAATTGTTACAAAAAGAAAAAAAAAAACAAAGATATAAATGCCTTAAAGTAGTCTTTAACATGGCATTTGGCTTAACACTGTCAAATATTGATGCAAGAGTGGGAATCCTTTTATTGGTATAAGTTTGATAGCTTAGGTAAAGTACAGACCGTGAGTTGAATTAATATTGAACTTTATTTAAATGAAGAAAAAATCCTGTTAGAATATACAGAGCATCATGCGGTTGTTGTTACACGAACTGTTACGAAAATCAGAAGCAAAAGCAGATGTTTCATGAAGAGAAAACATCTGTTGTCACAGTCAAAAAATATTTAAACTAGAATAGAATCAAAATCGGTTAAAAGTATGCGGATAACTGTAACTAATATCTAGGGTTATCAAATGTGTAATCACGTGTGCTATACTAATGCATCAATTCTTTTTTTAAAACACGCATTTTTATCTTCTTCAATGTGTAAAGATTAACGTTTTGTGATTTTTCCAAGTCAAAGCATTACCGAGGGTTTGCTTTATTAATTTTAAAATCAATCATTACACTGAAATAAGAATAGTTAGTATACAGATATAATTTACAATAAAAAAGTATGAACATTTATTTTGAATTTCTGGATTTAACAGTTACATTGACAATATATGACGTTCAACAGGTTTGACACATGATGGTTTTCGCTGTTACTAGTTTCTTCGAAGGAAACTCCTGATGCACGTAAATTAGTTTCATTTATAGAAGTAATGACATCAAATTATTTGGCATTGGTATAGGTATTACTTTTATTTTCTGTGGTGTATTGTGGGGTATTTTATTGTTCAGCAATTGTTTGGATAATGAATGTCGTTGTCTTGAATATCCTTCGTCGAGATTTGGTCATTGATAAATGATAGATAATTTACATATATCGAAGGTTCATAAATTTAGTAATGCCTTATAAAACGATGAACAATTATAAAGGGCAATCAAAAAGTACATGATGAAGACAGACAGGTAGCACCACTGACATAAAGAGAAGAAAAAGACGAACAATCAATAAATCTTTAACAGAAATTGATCAATAACCTTACATTCCAGCTCCTTTGTTCTACCAGGGGTTATCTGAGCCGGAACACCCCTACCAGATCACCCTAGTAGCTTGAGTTTCTTTGTTCCGCATGCTTTCCTTTGTTCTGTAACATTTTGGCGGGAATGACGAATCCACAATAAAACTAAGAATTACTTTTTACGGAAAAGACTAACTATCAATATTGATGTAGAAAAACCCCAGTGTCTATGCTGGGATTTGAACTCAAGACCTTTAGCATACAGACCCACGATTCATACCCCTACACCAGGACGACTGGATACAATACACTGTTAATTTTATATATTTAAACATTGTGTCCGGTGCTCATAAAGGGTGTATACTATATAATAATATATAAAGTAAATTATAATGACTGTGTGGCGTTCTAAACAAGATTTTATGAAGCGTAAATGATTTTTTATCTAATCTAGAACAGCTCTGATGTAAAATAGTTATCCCATTTGGACTTGGTGTGTCGGTGTAAGGTCATCCTCTGGCCTCCGGCCATCGGGATGATCTTACACTGACACACCGCGTCCTCATGGAAAAACTATTACTTATCACAATTTCTGTTTTCTAAGTTTCAAGTTCAGAAGGATTTGATGCACATTATTTGACCTTGTCGTTTTTTATTTCTATTGTTTAGATGCAATGGTATTCATTCTATACTCTGCCATTTGTGACAGATCAGTGTATTGTCCCGTATGGTTTTGGCATTTCAGCGCCAATTGTGTAAATCATTTCGATCTAGTTTGTTTATCGTGTCTCTTTATAGGAAATCAATAATTATGCTATCCTTATTAATTGAATGCTGCCATTAATAGTAAATTAATTGTTGACATTGTTATTTCATAGTCTTATCGCAACATGAATCAATTAATCATTTCTACTGAATAAACTTCACGCCAAGGGAAGTATGTCCTTATGTAATCATATCAGCAGGGATATGATGTACTCAATTACTGTAACACAAATTATATTTGACTGTGTAAATATCAGCATAGTCTATTATTTAATATTTGGCAATGAAGTATATCAAAATATGATGTCTTTCGTGTACAAAGTCACCAAGGTTCAAACACATTTATTTCCACCAAACGCAGACATAATCACCCTACAGTATAATGTGCAAAGAAATTTCGTTTGAAGTTTCACGAAAAAAAAAACCAATTTTGCTGCCTACGACTGCAACAAACGCATATATATGAAAATATTTGTCATATCACATAACATGACGAATAAAAGAACAAATAATTGTAATTGCTAAAGTAGTTTCAAATAGCAAGAGTCTTTCGTCATATAGTTTATCACTGACAGATAGTAATAACGTCACCTAATCAACTCATGATAGGTTGGAGCACATTGGAAGATAGTAGCAGTTAAACACAAATATATTGACATATGTTGCAAACCACTGAATTAATTTCGACGAATTGAAGTTTGATTTTAACTTTACTTCTTTATGACATGTATGGTTGAGGGTCTGACATCATTCTGGTACGTTGCCTACAAACTCAGTTTTTGACATTTGATATTTTGAGTGAAGAACAATATGACAAATACGATATTTACATATAGTTTTTTCAGTCGAGGTATGTTTTCCTCTCGACTTCCCCGTGGGTTTGTCTATTAGGAATTGCACCTCTCAACTGACGGAATATAGTTTATAGCCTACCTAAGCGAGTGGTATGTTGCGCTAAATACAGTGCAGGTGGAGTTGTCACAATGCCACAGAAGCATGTCTTCAAATCCAACTGAGGGAACGACAATACCAATTTTTAGATAAATTAAATACAAAGAGTATATCAATATGATATATCTATCCAAATAAAATGTAAGGAACACCACCAAAAAATCAGAACAACCTAAATTATTAATAATAAGCACAAACAAAATCAAAAAATATTTTAGATAGCAAATATCCTTTCTCCGTATCAATTGCCCAAATGTAATAGCTACATCGGTAAAAAAAAAGACGGGCTACAAGAGGTTCTAATCTTCAAATTATTCAAATTTTAAGTATGCAAAAGATGGGAGGAGTAATATTTTCGACCACCTAAAGGAAAAAACTATATACAAACAATGAAACATATATACATTGTTCTAGAACAGGAAACAAAAATACGAGATCTCAAAGTATATTAAAAAAGTTGACTTGAGTGTCTATATACATTAGCCCATTTCGCAAACTCGTCCTAAACGGTCCCCATTGAGGCACACGAGGCATGTAATTGGAAAAACTCGGATCAGTTTAACGGTAATTTCCTTATGGAATAATACTTTATGACTGAAAAAGATACCCCTAAGTAGAGTATTTTTACACCAATAATGTATTCATACATCCCAAATGCTGTTAAACATCGCAAGTGTGTTTATAAATCCAAATTTATATATACATTCAACATCTGTATTTATTGTGAATATCCTCTACTCATTGACCCCATTTAGCTTATCAATGATAACGATATCAACAGGTAGGATCCTCGAAAAGAGATAAACCAAAACGGATAAAAGGCAACAAATGAATGTACCCCTTTACGAAATTTAAAACAAAATTGTGTGCTTGTCGAAAGTCTTATGTGATACGATATACGATTGTAATAAAATAAGCAATTGTAAGAAAAAAAATTATACGATTTTTAAATCTTGTTACTGTAATTTGTCCTGTGACACATGTGTCTACAATTTCCATGCAATTGCTGCTTAAAATAACACGTTATCTAATCAAATAGTAAATTCATGTGTCTGGATGTTGTACCCATCCATGGATTTTTGTTTCCGAATTATTGGACGAAAAAACGTATTGTATTGATCTCTCTGCACACAACACGTGTGCCTTCAACAACTTTCATCGTGTACCATGGTCAGCAAATATCTAATTCAAGTTATAATTCGTCGGAAGCTCATTCATTGAATTTATGTAATAATATAAACATAAGGAGATGAGGTATGATTGCCGATGAGACAACTATCAACCAAAGTTCAAATAAAGTGTATGTAAGCAATTATAGGCAACCGCACGGCCTTCGACAACCCCCTTACCTGTGACAGTGGTGTAACAGCACAACATAAGAACACACTATAAAAATAAGTTGAAAAAGGCTTAACTCATCAGATAGATACAAAGTAGAAAAAAATCAAACATAAACACAGACCTGACGTGGCAGGGTATTTATCCATCCCTCATCCCTAACAACAAAAAAGACACTAAGTACAGATCTGAGAGTACTAGCAGTTACTGACAGCTAGCTAGTTCAAATCCAATAACAACTAATAAAACAAATCATGTATCTAAGACTAAAATATCAATCACTACACATCCAACATCAAATGGATTTAGTATAAAGACATCATTAACAGTCAAAGAAAAACATGACCTTGTGCAATGCCAAAATAAAGGGATCGAATTTAGGATGTGCTATTCCGTCTGAAATAAGTTTTTTACATGTACAGCCAAACTTGCAAACCAAATTTTGTATCTATGGAAGAACTTAGTAAAGGGTTTAAGTAATTTGTTGTAAAGAAACCCCTGACTTAATAATTTACCAGTGAAACATAGATTACGCTCATTGAAATCCAAAATGTCACTAGAGACACGGGCATAACGAACGAGTTGGGATATACATACACCGACTTTTTGTCTTTTTGTCTTTTAGCTTGTGTCAGGCTATACCAAATAATTACTCTGTAGAAGCGTTCTATTGTATTTGAAATAAAATATTTTAATAAGATTACTCATCAAATTGGTCTATGGCACGTTCATAGTGACATTTGTTAAATGAAACAAGATTTAATTACAAACTAGAGCACTTGAAAGGTAAATTGGAGTCAGTAAAATAATTCATTCTTTAGACACTGATATATTGATTGATTGATAGTTATATTGGCCGTTATGATATTTTTTATTCTGAACACACACAATAGATTTAATGTTATACATGGACTCAAAATCATATGATTGTCACGTTAAATAACTATGAAAATTATGTTTTATATCTTTATCAACAAATTAAATCTGTGATATCGACTTTTTTGTAATTAAAATATGCTGTTAGTTTCAACATTAATCTGGTAGGGATGAAGATAACGTTCATGTATGTTATCCTGACTTTTTTTCGATGAACCATCGATGCATAAACCGAGTATGCATTTCCTTAAAATAATAAATAATGCATCAGTATGGATACTATTACATACACACATGTTAAGCGAGTTAGGAAAAAATAAAACCGATAAACCGGCGTCGAAAATGTGATAAGTTGTCAGTATAGCATTTTGTGTTATGCAAAATAAAATTGGTATGCTTCAAAATGGGACATCTATACCCCATAGACAAAAATAACGTAAATGTTAGCACCTATAGGTCACTGTACGACCTTTAACAATGAGCAAACCCCATACCATAAAGCAAGCTTTCAAAGGCCCCGACATAAGCAGATGTTAGGGATTTCACACAAAATAACAAAAGTTTGATTTATGTACAGAACAACAAACAAAAACATCAACATACGGCAACCATTGTATTACAGGCTCCTGAAATTGGACAGGCATATACAGAGTGTGGCGGGGTCAAGCATGTTTTGGGCGCCCAACCCTCCTCTTAACAATGGACAGTGCTGCAACAGTAAATCACAAGAACAAAATGTACAAACCAATAAAAGAAAAACAGTAATGGTATGCAGCATCAAAAGATAACCTCCTGAAACAGAATGTGGCGGGGTTTAACATGTTTGCGGGCATCTCCCCAGTTAGATAAGTGGTATAAACACACAACGTAAGAACAAACTATAAAAAATCGGTTGAAAAGGGCTTGACTTATCAGATCGATGAAATCGAATGCACAAATAACAAAAGCATTTACATATTTGTACTTTTTGTATGTTATGTCCCTATAAAGGACAGTAACAACTAGCATTTAGTTTTGAATTATTGATATTTTTCACGCTTTGACACGATTAAGATCAAGTCCAGATTTAATGTATATATAGTGATTGTTACCTGAGACACCACTGTATGTCCACCATTCTGTCCAAAGTGTACCAAAGGCTGCAAAAAAGTTCATATACTTAAGGTTAAAATATATTAATAAAAGAAAAACCCAATAATACTTGTTGAGATAATTTAATTCAAATACTAAATTATAAAAAAGAAATTATTCTAAGTAAACCAATGTCCTTCTAACAAACGAACACATGAATTAAAACAATCAGAATCCATTAAGCTCCAAACAGAGTAAGGTGGTGGGGTCAAGAGGGCAGAGATCGCTTATTCTAGACAGGAGTGTTAAGTGGGCAGACATCTGTTTCCATTGTAAACAGGAGCGTCAATAGGGCAGATCGAGATCTGCTCTCAATCTTTACCGAAAACAATGTTAAAATGGTTTGTACAATAGTGTTTTAACATCAAGGACAGCCAAACAAACGCTCTTCTTTAGCTTGGAATTTATTACAGGAAGGAGAGATCATGATGACCAAATTTCTATACCTCGGTCAATTAACCCTTGAGGTCTCTGGTACAACGTACAATTCAGATATTATTACGAACAGTAAATTCATGATAGCGACTGCATCAATCGTGAAATATTAATTGCTGTCATGTCTAACTACATGAATTGTGTTTGCTGGAGTGATACTTGATATAGTAGTGTACATCTGACAGGACATTCGTGAAAATAACAGGCTTATCAACTGGGTAAAGTAAACGCCAAAGCTGTGGCAGATAAGATAATGAAAAATGAGAATGGGAACCCTATAATATCGTGTTTGTCCTACATTCTCGTTTTTTAATTGTTCATTAGAATCAATTATAAAAATATCTAAAATTCTTAACTTATTTATCCAGACGAAAACTTTTATAAGTCGACTATGACCCTATATATATGTGTGTGTGTGTCTTGTTAGGCATAGCCACCACAGAAAAGATGAACACTTTGAATTTTTCAAATTTGTCTTTGATATTAAGTCAGTGTTTGAATACAGCAATTAAGGTCATAATAATCAAACAATTCTTAAATATATCGAAGGCAAGAATATTGTAAACATATTGGCAATTTAGAACTATGTATAATTTAAAGTTCATTTTCCTAGCTCAACCACAAAAGTCTATGTGCGACATATGACATTACATTTGTCCACTGTTCCACGATTGCAGATCCTAAGACTATACCTACTTTATAAAAAGAAGCGTTTAAACATTTTTGATCACATTTAGTGTTCATATAAGATAGTTATATTGAATTACAACGACTGGTCTAATCCCTGTGTACCAAAATGATGTTCTTTACAGACAACAGCTATAATCTATTAACTCTTAAGCGACTGCCAAATGAAGTTATCTATGTATTGTCTAAGATCTACCTTGAAAATCAATCTATATTACATTGACGTTCCCAATATGAAATAAATTTTAACAAGACAGAGTCTCTGCTGAAAAGGATTTTGCTTAACTTTGTAAATTGTTGACCCGGCTATCGTAAGTACAATAATGAAATAAAGGGATAACAAGAATTACCAAGTATATTACAAATGATCACACTAATATATATATGCCATATTTTGTGTGTACGCTTTAGGTTTTAGTATCGACACAATCAGCGCTTCCTCTCGTCCTATTCAATACGCGCATGAATTTATGCTAACCACACACGATTATTCTCGTTATGTCATAGTAACGTCTGTTTACGGAAGGTAAATAATATTTAATGAATTTAACTCCTGTTGGTCATATAGCTCTTCAACTGTTTCGTTTCTTATACATCATTGGCTTTCAAATTAATATTCGGCACGAGCGTTCCTAATGAAGGTAAATCAAGAAAAGCACTTCGGATACATGAAATTTATCATTTTTTACAAGTACAGAATCAATGTAGTTTGTAGTAAACAATCTTGAGACAACACCATTAAAATACCCTACATATTCAACGGAATGTACGGGAAAAGTCGCGATGATCTTCAATGATACACTAGATCTACATAGTTTGAAAAATAAGATTGGTGGTAAACAGTCGCGATACCACACGAAACTATAAACGATCTATTTCTTATGAATAACATCAAAGTGTGTTAAACATCCAACAGAAACCACATCAAGAAAACAAAACAAATAATCTTTATATTAAAATATGGTATATAAACTCATCATAGATACCAGGATTGAAATTTTGTATTTGCGCTAGACGCGCGTTTCGTCTACAAAAGACTCATCAGTGACGCTCGAATAAAAAAAAGTTAAAAAGGCCAAATAAAGTTCGAAGTTCGAAGAGCATTGAGGACCAAAAATTCCCAAATACAGCTAAGGTAATCTTTTCCTGAGGTAGAGAGGCCTTAGTATTTCAAAAACTAAAGTTTTGAAAACAGTTAATTTATAATTATGACCATATCAATGATAATTCAAGTCAACACAGAAGTGGTAAACAGTTGTGAGACTAAACATCAACAAATCACTCTAAATCTACTGATTATTAATAACATGGAAACAGTAAAACAATGTTTTCCTCTGTTTAATACGTGAATGGCCATAAGGAAAACGATAATAATCTTCTAAGATTAAACTTATGTATGACATGAATGTAGGTTTCAAGCTTTCGTAAATCAAACAAAATATGTAATAAATGATGGAAGAAATCATTTTTTTATGATAATGCGCGTTATTACACGTACAATTAGAACTTATATCGAACATACGAACTTTACAAAATGTTCTTAGCAATTTTGATCTTTTTAAGAATACTACCCTGCAAATACTGGGAAAGTTTATGCGTTAACATTAAAAAAAATATAGCAGATAAGTACTTTGATAACGACGATTATACATCTATATATGGAGTCCTTCATAAGTTATTTATGTACCTTACTATATTTTTGTTCTTTAATTGAGTTATCATTTCCTTATTATCTTAACTCTCGTTGCAAAGTCGATACAATGTGACATGTCCTACCTAAATATCCTTAACAGTTCTTAATGACTTGGTGTTATTTTCAAAGACTTGACGTTCTTTAATATTACAAAAATAATCGTCTGTTTCGTGATAAATGGGGAACTCACTTGCTGTTCATTGAAGCGAACTTCCGATTTAAGAATATAGCAATTAAAACGATTTCAATAAATCAGCCTTGTTTTTTGTTTTTGTATTTGTTATTAAAAATCGAATTGGGTTTACAGTTGTCACGGAAATTTCTTGATTTCGAAACCATGTTCATGTTAGAATTCAAATTTATCATACATTTTTCATAGTTAAACGCAAACTAGCGATGATATCGAGCAAACAATGTGATTTTAGTTTTCAAACAACATGCAAAATTATCAATCATGATGAAAGTAGTCAAGACAACAAATTAAACGTTAAACAAAAAGTAAATATTTATAAAAGTACACACTCAGCAGTCTTTGTAAATGATATGCATTCAAAATCATTTAATACAGATCACTTTAATACTCTTCAATGACTAATGCATGTATAATAATACCAATTTGTGTTAGGGTGTCTAGTATAAGTTTCACCACATTCCACATTTCTATGAAGGTGGTAGTAAATATTTTATATGTTGTTTTTTTTATTGTCTAATGTCGGTTTATAGATTTAGTTTTTCGATTCCAAAATTTTGTAAATATTGTATCGTACGATAATAATAAGCAACAGTATTGTCCAATACAGTAGTACATAGCTTGTAATGCCATAAATAACCATATTGGTAGCACAATAGTGAAAATGTATTACAGTTGTAACATTTAATCTAAGAAATATTAAGGTAAAGCACAATTCCCAAATGTAAAAATATAAAGCCATGATAAACTCGGTCATTCTGCAACATGTTCTGAATTAGTACTGATTACTTTGATTGCCTTTGGTAATACTTCAATACTTCCCTATAGTTCATAGAATCCAGATTGTGTTTGTTACGGTATGTCATATACTTGTACTTACGATAATTGAACAAATATCGGATTCGTTGATAAATTTCAAATGGAAGGTAAACTTTGGGGCTTATTTGGCACTGTCAATTAATCAAAATGATAATTTATTAATTCATGCCTTTTTCAATATCAACCCTGTTCAAATCCAGAGATACTGAAATGTGACAGTGGGCTTTAGCCCGAGGGCAGATATTGATTGAGATATACTAACTGGGCAGATATGAAAAAGGCATGTATTAATTTATCATCACTTATTTGTGTGGATTGTTAATGATTTATCATTTGTGAAATAAACGATATAACAACAGTTATTTCAGTTCCATCTAAAGCAACAAAATAGTCGTGGATTTTCTATCAATGTAAATTGTTGCATTCATTCGCGATAAATGACCCATACAGTATCTGATCAGATGCCACAACAAAACGCACAGGAATCAAGTTTTTCCACCTAAGTCAGAGCGCAAAAGAAAATCGATAAAAATAGTAAAATGATAATAATTGTATGAGCAGGGTAAGATAACATGGTATTAGGTCCTACAGGACAAGAAACCATGAGATCCTGTCCTGTGGCTTCGATATATTGATTCTGTCAAAATAACACTTAATCGATTTGGTTTATACATGTGTGATATGAATTGTATGATACAAAAACTAATAAAAAAGATTAACTTCAGAAGAAAGGTTTCAGAAAATTTGAATTTTAGTGAAGTAAATTTTTACACAATTGACCTGTGACGTAATCAAAGCGACATCACAAGGGAGATTTTACTGAATCACACATGTAGTAATGCCAAATTGTTTGCTTAAATAACATAGAGGGCATATTTGACAGTAGATAGTAAAACACAAAATACACTTCATTGGGGAATATCTTTTTTAGCGTCGGTTATGCTCTATATTATTTCAAAGAATATGCGAGTCAGATAGTTCAGATGATTTTAAGTTCTAAGTTCGCCATGTTACTGGATTTATTGCAAGAACTCTTGCCAAAGTTAGCGAAACAGGCAATGGTGTTAAAAACTTGAAACATAAAACAAACTATTGGATTCCAAAACGTTCAACAAAGAATCTTGTGCCGTTGCTTTGATATTAATAGAAGTGCTACAATGTATGAATAACTTATATTGTGAATTTTTACAAAACGTTTCAAACTAAATTTCTAATGATATCGATTATAATTGAAATAGTAATTATTTAGAATTCCTTCAAAGTATATTTAAACTCAGTTTATACCTTTTACACACGACATAAATATGAACAAATAATAAATGTTCTAAACTCAAAATTAAAAAAGAACCATGTCTGTGCATTAAGGCAGCGTGTGGGTTGAAATTTTTTTTCAGATGATCAACACTTGCATAATTGGCAATTAGTAGTTATAGTTCCGACTTGTTATAGTTTGTTGAAAAGTAGTGGGTTGACAAAGGTTTCTCGATGCCATTTACACAGCGAAAATCCCCATAAAAACAATATATCAACAAGTTCTTTGTTTTAAACTGAGAACTGACATTTCTGATCTGCAGAGGTTATAAGAATTGACATAAAATCATCGCCATCTTAGTAAAAAGATTGTAAATACATGTCTTTATATAGCAGTAAGATTGATATGTGTACAATCGGAAATTGAACGTTTTTGAATGAGTTGGTGGCGAAACATTCGAACTTCATGTCTGTATCCAATTTGTGGCCGAGTCAGTGCCAACTACTGGGAGTCATATTATAAAATATAATTACATATATATATAGTTGTTTAATTTTATCTTTCCAAAAGTGATAACTCATTAAGTGATTGATTTTTTCGATTTCGGCTGAGTACAATAGCCTTTGACGAAATGGAATCTACAATTTTTTTATTTTAGTATTCCAAACAATATTATTACACTACTAAATACAAAGTCAATAACAGTAAATTGACTAGATATTGTGATGACCTCTGTAAACAAAATAAGATCAAATAAGAGATCACTATAGTATGCAGCTGTAATAAACTAGATAGAATTACAATCTCCATGATGATTAACTTTCTGTAGTTAATCGGACCTTCATATAGTGAACATTATGAAATGATATGATGTTCACTATATAAGGTAGGAAAACAGAGATTATAGATATACATGTAGCATCCTTTTTTTTATTCTATTATAAAGTTGATTATTTCTAAATGATTTATCCTTCCTTTTTATAAAGAGTAGAATTTAAGGGAAGTTGTATTCTTATCACTGTTATAAAGTCTATTGTTTTCAACCGAGCGCCACCAATGAGTCTTATGTAGACGAAACGCGCGTTTATGTTACCAAATTAAAAGCCTGATATCTTTGAGTTTTACTATATACGTTTAAATTGCGACCTTTTACAGAGATTTCAAATGAAACTGTTGTATTATTACTATCCTTCCTTATTTCGTACTTTATATTAACGGTTTATCAGTATCTCTGAATATCTAGTTTATCAGTATCTATGGATATCTAGTTATCAGTAGCTCTGGATATCTAGTTTATCAGTATCTATGGATATCTAGATAAGTTTCCTGGATATCAAATTTATCATTATTTCTGGATATCTTGTTTATCAGTATCTTTGGATTCTAGTTTATTAGTAACTTTGGATATGTAGTTTATCTGTATCTCTGGTTATCTAGTTGATCATTTTGTCGATATTTAGTGTTATGATATCTTTCCGAATGGTTACATCACTTTACTTAATTAATTTATCACTTTTACTGATATATTTGAAAATTACTGAAAGAAACAAGCACTTAATACTAAACTATGGTAAGAAAGTTTTTTTTATGTTCATAAGATTCCTAAGTCTAATACTATCGATACGTATTCGATAGCAAATAGGATTACAATTGTAATAGATTGTTGTAGAAAAAGTAATTAAGACACTAAGTTTTCGTTCGGATTTACTTTACGTTAAGATATTGTTCAATATAAAGCTTTGCTTTAGTTAGATACGTATTAAATATACTTGATATCAAATGTTACGGATTCCAGGACTCAAATTTTTATAATGTATGAGTCTTACCTGTTACTCTCTGAAGGCCAACAACTAATAGAAAACTAAAAAAAATCCAAAACTCTTCCATGGTATAGTTACACCTTCATTTTAATATATCCAAACAGTCAATTTACAGAATTGAGGAAAATAAATGTTATGTTAACAAGTGACGATTTGTAGTGTGAGAAAAATTAATCATGCAGAGTAGATTTATATGATATTGTTAATCAATAAATCCTTATATGGCTTCTTTGTTTAATCAATGATGAAGGGGAGGGATTATAGTAACACGCAATCACCATTGTAAACTTAGCTTTACTAAATAGAATCAGTTTTGCTGTATTGAAAAACAACTAAACACAACTGCTATGAAAGTATCTACGAAACCAAGCTTCCGAATGGTTTCTACACACACTGCTATCAGTACTGAAGATTCAATAGGTAACATAGATCGAAACCTGCTGTTCACAATTACAAAATTCAATATATTGCAATTTCAAGCTGAACGGCAGACAAAAATCTTCTGTACACGATAGAGAAAAAAAAATGAATTTGTTACCACTATAACTGCCGTAATTTGAGACGGTGAAAGGTAGCAAGAACAGGTTAGACCATTTGTGCTGCTCTTGAAACTCTTTCTTACTCAACTGTTAATCTATACGGTCCTCTGCTACTACATTGAGATACTTAGTTTGTTATTTGTTTGATATTATACAATTATAGCCTTTGAATGAGGTCGATGAGAGGTTATATCGACCTACGAGAAGCACATTGACTGAGGACGAAGGCTTAAATTGTTATATCATTAATCAACAACTATTGCATGAACAATGTAAAATTGGGGATTTCTAGAATGTATTTTTAGTAACATGCTGTATGCCTTGTGCAATATGCTTAATTTCTTGATTGACAACATATTTGTTACGTTTGGAGGACGTGTTTTTCAACCAACAATCGGCGTTCCGATGGGAACCAAATGTGCTCCTCTTATTGCCGACTTGTTTGTTTTATTCATATGAGTCTTACTTCATACAGGAACTTCTTAGGAAGAAAGAAAAGAAGTTAGTAGTATCCTTCAACTTCACTTTCCGCTATATAGATGATGTTCTCTCATTAAATAATTCAAAATTTGGTAACTATGTTGAACGCATTTATCCCTTCAAACTTGAGATAAAAGGATACAACAGATACAGTTAAGTCTGTCTCATATCTTGACTTACATCTAGAAATTGACTATTAGTGTCGGTTGAAAACAAAACTTTACGACAATGTTTTTGTTTTGTGTACTGTTATTTGTCTGTTTGTCTGTTTGTCTTTTTCAGTTTATTTTCCACTTATGAGTTTGAATGTCCTTTAATATCTTTCGCCTCTCCTTTTCGATTAAATTTGTATTTTAAAATCTTGGATAAAGTTGACCTTGAATGCTTTTGGCATTTTGTTGTAGATCCCTAAGTAACATTATTATCTAGTCTCTTCATGATTATGTCAAATGGACAAGTGAAATATTTATTATATATTTCTTCCTCATACTACTGAAGTAGTTTTTGTCTATTCGCATATATGTCTTTCCTTTTGAGAACAAAAAAATCTTATCAAGAGCATACACTATCGTGGTATACCGTATCAACTTCGACACGCTTATTTTATCAATACATCTGGAGCAATATCATCAGAAGGTCATTGTGTATTTTTTTATAAACTATATAACATTAAATGAAAATAACTATAGATAAATTATTTCTTGCGTCCGAAGCGCTTTTCTGGATTTACTTCATCGAGTAAAATCTAAAAGGCAGGGATGCATAAGTACTTGACGAACTATATTAGAAAGAGAGATCTAAAAAGAATAGAAAACAGGTCTTTGCCTAAGTATTTCTGTTTTGCGTGTTTTGATAAAAATATAGTAATTAAGACTATAAAATCCACACAATCAAGAGATGAATACCGCATCATTTTTCTTCAGATAGTTTAAAAACTCATCAAAGAAGCTAGCCTTATAATTTGGTACCCCAGACGCGTGCGTTTCGCCTACATCGGACTCATCAGTGGCGCTCGAATCAAAAGCAAAAATAAAACGAAGTAAGAGAGCATTAAAAAATCGAAAATTCTGAAAAGTTGTGCCAAATACGGCTAAGCCAATCTATACCAGGTATTAGAAAAATCTTAATGGTTCGAATTTATGGTCATTAAATGTTTATTTGTGTGATGGTACTGCTAGAACTAAAATCCTTTTACTTTCTGCACAATGTTTATTTAAAAGTCATAAGGTGTCATATCTCTTGTATAATTAGACTTTGGTATTCATTAGAAACGATCTAATGTGATCAAACAAGGATAAAAGTCAAGAAAGTTTGATCTTTTTATATTCATAAAAGTTAATTAAACCATTATGCGGTAAAAGCGCTGTAAAACTGAACCAAAGCAGAGATTTTTTCACGTCTTTACCACTATGTAGCAGACAACACGCAACATTTTTCTACTGAAGTAGCCATTACAACGTCTGGCGTACTAAAGTCATTATATCACGACAGTATGATGTCATTTTTTTTTATATCTTTACTTAATTACCTTATCATCCACGCAATTGATAACGAAATGTACAGAGTAACTTAATTCTCGAGTCATAAAGAACTGTTTACTCTGCAGCGGAACTTCGTGAAAGAGTGTCCATAATTACACGAATTATGGCATTGCTGTATAAAACTTAAGGAATAAATATGTTTTTACAATAACTGATTTCTGTGAAACCTCCACTTCTTGAATGATCGATATGAAAATTTAAAAAAAAATATTTTGAATTAATGTTTCACCTTTTCTAGACCCTGGGGGTTGTGGCTTGACACTTTGGTATAGAAACTTTCAATGGTGCTATATAATTAGTTTTTGCTTGTACACTTTTATTCATATCTGGATCAATCATCTCACAAATTCTTACTCTGAACTCTTGAGATCATCGCTTGTTTCACTATAAAGAATGCCGCAACTATTGATAATCAGATATTAATTGAAATTTAACCATGCTGGATTTATCCTTTTTGTTCTTATTCTCGTGTTGTTCGTCTTTGTTTAGACTTTGATCAGTCCTTAAATGTACATTTTAGTACCATTTGACTAAAGCTTCTGTTGGAATACCCAACATTTATTTTCATTAATACTATTACTTCAGTTTTCCTGTTGTTCCTTTGTTTTACTCGGTTTTAGTTTATAACCCGGATTTGCTTATCTCAATCGATGTATGAACTTTGAACACCGGTATACTTTGCCTTTATTTATAACGCATATAGCTAAGGCTGGGTCCGTGGGGGCAATATTAGAAGTGACAATGGAAGAGTTGGGAACACGTCCTAAACTACGATTTCAATAACCAAGGAAATTGTGAAAAATATATGTTTTACTGAATATAGTATTGCAAATTGTTTTAATTCGGTACAAATAGTTATATTGTGAGTGGCACACATACGCCACGTGACCAATACATATGACTTTGAATCTCCCGAAAAGGAAGAGAAATGTCTGAGCCATGATAAGTTAATATCTATGTTATTGTAGATTAGTTAACAATAGATCTCCTGATTGAGTGAAATATAATCTGTTTGCTCCTTCTGAAATAAATGTCAATTTATCAGAGCTCGGTAACCACAAGAATAGACAAATGATTTATATGAAGGACAGAAAGGTGTAAGCGACGTCTAATTATAGTGCTCACGCTATACTACTATCCGTCATGTCGTGGTAAAATTAAGTATTATATAAATATTTCACAAAATGTTACAAATCTAGAAAACAACTTTCGCCTTGAAGCATTGACTGTGCAAAGTCAATTGTCATTAAATGTTAATGGAATTAAAACTTTGGTGTACATTATCATAGCTTCTAATGTAAAAGCGTTTGCAGGGCAAGAAATAGTAACTTCTCGTTTCAAACGGTTTTAATGGAATTTGAACTTTTCCTTACTTTGCAGGGATATATATCTTTTATAATTTGATTTCTATTCATATTTGCAATAGACATTCCCATGAGTGTACTTACAGCGAGTTGTTTTAAATATAATGTCAATCAAACTTTTGTATTGCGGTATTGGCATGATTTAAAAGATGTTGTCTTAAACAAAGGTTGAGTATAACTTAGACGGTTTTACGAACGTTCTTACTAGGACCTTTTGTCTCTTTATAATAATTCTACCTATAACTACACGTGTTTTTCTGTTTAGGATTTTCGGTTTCTATAATCTCAACGTTTAATATTTATGTCGTTTCATTTTCCAACTCTTGGTTTCAATGAATGTCCCCCAATGAAGCTGAATATTTTCCCTAAACATCTGTCTAGTGCACGTTAATAATATCATAGTTACATTTTATAGTCACAACACAAGTTGCGTGTTTAGGTCTATATTTGACGTTTTCCGACATTTGATAGTATCTATTAGAATAATTCACAATTGTTTAGAATCGGAAAAACTTACAGCTTGTCTATTGTCCAAACACACGTATGTTGTGGAAACGCTATTTTAACTTATTAAAGCTAGACGTCTTCTGTGTTTTATGTCGTTGATTAACTGCTTCGTCGAAATATTTCCCCAACATCTCCATTAATATTTATTGTCTTTTTGTTCTTTAAATAAGATAAAAAGAAAAGAGAGTTCATTCCTTTTGTCAAGGTGAGAATGCAATTGTGATAAGTTTTTGTGTTTTTATTTAAGAAAATAAACATTAATGATTTTCTTACATTGATATAAAAATAATTTCGTAAGATTTGATAACAGTGTTTATCATATACTTGTATAAAATATTACTAAAATTTTACAGTTCAATAACAAATTAAAATATCAAAAGGCTATGAAAGGATTAATAGGTTTATTGACCAGATTCCTAAGAATTTCCTCAGCGGGCTGATAAAGGAACCTTTATTGACTGCTTCCGGAATGTTATCACATGGCTTTCCGTTAATTTCCGTAATGTTTATCACATGCAACTTCGTGCATTTCCGGAAATTTGTTTGAAAACGACAACACAGTGCGGAAAACCGCAAGTGATTTAAAAGGACTTTTCACAAAATGGTTGAGGAGCAAAAATGAATTAAGATTAAACATGTTTTGAAAGACATAAATGAGATGCCAGAAATTGTCCATTACAATTTAAAGGAAAAACTATGCACATGTTTTCGGGG